GCCGAGGTAAGGCGGCGGGGCCGGGGGGCCGCGTGGGGGGCGGCCGGGGCGGCGGCGGCGGTGGGGGAGGGGGCGGGGGCGGCAGCTTTGTTCGCGCCGGGCGCCCGCGCCGCCGGTGTCCGCGAGCCGCGGCGGGGCCGGCCGGCTGCTCGCATCACTTGGCGGCCGGCGCTGCGAGCGCTGCCCGCGGCCCCCGCGCGGCCCTCCCCACAAAGGGCCGCGGAGCTGCGTGGCCGCCGCCGCCGGCCGCGGCTCGCCTACGCGGGCGCGGAAATTTGTTGCACTTCTTGGGGCTTTGTTTGTTTGTTTGTTTTTCCTCGGGCTTTTCCCCCCTTTTTCGTTATTTTGGACAAAATGTCGGTCCGTGATGTAAAAATTGAGCGAGGAACCTTGGTGGCATGGGGAGCTTTGCAGAAGGTGCAGTTTGGATTCTGCTTTTCCCAGGGTGGCAGCTGGGTCTTGGCCGGATGAATCTTCGCTGCTGGCCGTGGAAACGGCTAGGGCAGCTTGTTAGTTGATTTTTAAATTTCCGAGTGTTGTGTTTAAAGGTTTTACGTGCATAGAGGAGGAATCTCCACCTTAAATAAGCATATGGGCGATTAACAGGGTATGTTTTCCTCTGGGAAAGGGAATTTGGTAGCTCTGACCAATGTCAGTCTGTAAATATTGAGACGTTATTAGTGACTTTTTAACATTTTTCAGCAAGATCTGTTATTTACAGTGTGTCATATGTTATTAATGCTGGTTGCCTAAGTTCCCTGGCAAATCTGTTTCATGCCTTCTGAGAAAGTAGACAATTGATAGATTGTCCAAGGAATGGAAAAAAAATGTGAGTGGGTTTCTAACTTGAGTTCGGTAAATCCCTGAACGCTGGCGTTGTAAGATTCATCCTCTCCCCAGTAACCTTGCCATATGAACACTTTTGAAGCCTTTTTGTTGAGATACAATTTTAGGTTAATATTAAGACAAGAAAATGCTGTTGACTGATTTCTTACATTAACATTTCTCTCCTCTTCCCTTTTCTCTTTAAAAGTTTTCCAAGCGATAACTTCATCAAGATGTCCAGTGATAGGCAAAGGTCCGATGATGAGAGCCCCAGCACCAGCAGTGGCAGTTCAGATGCGGACCAGCGAGACCCGGCCGCTCCAGAGCCTGAAGAACAAGAAGAAAGAAAACCTTCTGCCACCCAGCAGAAGAAGAACACCAAACTCTCTAGCAAAACCACTGCTAAGTTATCCACTAGTGCTAAAAGGTAACATAGGTTGTCTTCCAAGCAGTTGGAGGCTTGTGTTTTTACATCAAGAGCAATACTCCAGAAATACTTCATGCTCAGTTTCATTTGTACTTGAATGAATTGTCATCCTTTAGGGAGCATATAAATATCCTCACTAAAATTATACTTCTAAGCAAACTTATTCTGTACTTTGATAACTTCAGGAAGAGTCCTAGAGTAGCGATTGAACTCTCATTCTGACAGTTTAAGGAGTTGGTAAGGAAAATTTGGGGGAAACTGAATTAGATGGTACATTGAGGATATTTCCTTTTGTGAGTTATACTCTTGAGTAAAATTGATGCTTTTAGAGATCAGTAGTGTCACTCTTCATGAAAGGAAATGATCAAAAAAGTTTATATTTGCTAAAAAAATTTTAAATGTCAGGCCTTGGCTGTTTTTGAAAGCTTATTTTAAATTTGCTTAGTTTCACAAACAAGGCTTTAAATCCTGCATAACAGGTATAACTTTTTGTAGTTAAATTATAGTTATCCCTCCTTGTTCTTGGGAGGGCAAATAAAACTGAAAAGTAGCCATTAACAATCTCAGGTGTCACTTTGCCATTGAAAACTTTCATTGTCTTTGCACCTCTTTACTCTAAAACTTGTGGATGTTCTTGACATAGTAATATACTCAGCAGCAGGAAAAACATTTTGTTGGGTGTAAGTGAAAGATTATTTGTTTCTTGCTGACTTCTGTTTTCTGTGATAGAAAAAAAAAAAAAAGGATTCCATCAATGTGACTCCATCAGTGATAGTGGTTGTATTGAGTAGAACTCTTGTAATCATACATAAAATATGTCTGTAGCATTACGTAGTGTTGATATTTTGTTGATTTTCATTGATCTCAACTAAAGAAAAAAATATAAACTGATCAATTTATGCATTTTATAGTGACATGTTCTTATTTTTCTATAGATTTTCACCATCATTCTATCATTAATCAAACACTAATAAACTTGAGAATATTATGTTGAATTGCAGCAATCTTTGCAATAATTTAAAATTCTTCTCACTTTGTTGTAATGTTGTGGAGAGTAACATTAAACAAGTTTTGAAAACATTTTAAATTTCAAGAAAATCAGAGAAATGCTCTTTTTCTCCTTACCTCACGGCTATACATCTGATCCTCTTTCCTCCAAGATTATTAAATTTATGTGCTGTACCTAAGATCAGAGAAAACAAATGGTTAAATAAGATTGCCAAAATAGTCCTTGGAAGTTTTTCATTGGTAAAGATATTTGTAAATTTTAAACTTTTTTTAAACAGACAAAATATTGGCAAAACTATTAATGTGCTCTTGCAGTAGCTTGCTAATTTTTACCACAGTAAAAGTGGCTTGAAGTCATTGTCAAATATTCTAGTGCTTTCCCTCCTCCCTTTTTGTCTCATTTGCATATAAGCTTGAAAAGAGAATTTCTTTGGTAAAAAGTGTTTTAAAATAGATTTTATATCCTTTGCTGAGTAGTAGTGGAGGACTTTCTCAAATCAGGTGTAAATGACTTACCTATTTGCAGTTGCAAGTGAGAAAAAAAGCTGCAAAGTTTCTGTTAAGGGATTTGGGTTATGCCTCTGAGAACAAAGAGGAAGCAGCCATGTTAGCATTACTGAAGGCAAAGCCAGCCTTGCATTTAACTGCATGGTGGTAGAGGGCAGTGTAATTCCCCGGTTATTCTGTAGACTATCTCAAATCCTTTTTGTCTGTTCTCATTTCACTAACAGAATCCAGAAGGAGCTAGCTGAAATAACCCTTGATCCTCCTCCTAACTGCAGGTAAGAAATAAGTTTTGTTGTTTTGATTTCTAAATTGTGGAAAGATATCAGGAGATGAATGTATTGTCCTTGTATATATGTGCAGCAGAAGAGGCTAGCTAGCTATGCTTCCTTACAGCTTTGCAAGTGCATTAAACAAAAATTGCCTAGGTGAATTAAATAAAATTGGGAGAAAAATACTCTTTAGCATGTATCATACATTCTGGACTTATGAATATACTGATTTTGTTCTTCTTGCTGAGATTAGTTTGAATGGTGCTGATTTCTCTGTTTTATTTTTGTGGGATGTATTTATTCACAAGTATTTTGTAGAAACTTGTAAAATTTCAAGCTTTAAAGTTATTCCTTGTGTGCAATCTGAACTGACCTTCCAAATTTAGAAATTGCTGAATGTGATGTTACAAAATGTAAATGCAGTAAACAGGAGTTTAGTTGTTTCTGTTTGATTTATTCAGTAACTTGCCTTAAGGACAAATTTTATGTGCAAAGCTAATGGTTTTAGTTGTTATTTTCTAGAAAACACATTGTTGGAATTATTTTTAAGCAAATGTCCTAATGACTTGGGAAAATTCTTAATAAGCAGTAAATGAATTGGAATTGTGGGAAGAATTACTTTCAGTGGAACTCAGAATAATTTAAGATTGATTGGCATAAGTTGTATTAAAAGTTGCTGGTTGATAATTTTTCTCAATTTTTTCAATTTGCTTCATGTATAGTATTCTGTTTATGGTTTGAATGGTGACTGTATGGTTGACAGAATTCATCTGATTTAGAAAGCAGTATTATAAATAATTTGCATAGAAGTATGTGCTCAAGAATGAGAGGGGAAGGGATGCTAGAATTAAGGCAGTGTTGTGGTTTGATATAAAAATATTTTGGTGTCTAAGCTGTGTTTTTGCTACAAATTGTGATTTGCTCCTGTTGATCAGAACCATCTCCAAAGTCTACTTGAGACAAAATAAGGCATAATCCATTTGTTTCTTATTGCGTGTGTTAACCAGATCCTCAGATAAGGTGATCTGATCCTGATTTATCCAGTGAATTAACAGTTTTGCTTATATTTGTAGTCACAACCATTTCAGTTCAAAAAGGAGACGTGAGTGTGAACTAATTATAAACAGAGTGGTATGTCAGATCTCAAAATATTACTTAAGAGGTATACTGTCCAATAATGTAGCCACTAGCCATGTCTGACTATTGACCAGGTTGTTGTGGTTAGTTGAAAATGGGGTGTGCTGTAAATATGAAATGCATACCGGATTTTGAAAACTTTGTAAAAGAATAAATATTTTAGAAATATTTATTACATATTGAAATGATAATATCTGACATTTAATAAATGCTTTTAAAATTGTATTTTTCACCGTTTTAGCATAGTTATTAGAAAATTCAAAGTTACTTGCATTCTATTTTTGCTGAACACTATTGCTTTAGAGAAGAAGTAAATCAGTATTTCCTTCTAGCCTTCTAAATGGAGTGTCAAATCTGTAGCCATTTAAGGAGGTCAAGTTAAATTTGCTCTGTGGAAGAATCACTTAACTTGCAGAGTGTATTCTGATAATTCCCATTATGAAAGATGTAGAGATCTATCAATTTAAAACTCACATGTCTTAAAATTGCATGTAAGGTCAAACATTTTTAAAGGTTTCTGTTGATTTTCTGCAAATGGCTTAAACCAGTGTATGAGCATACATCTAGAGAGCACAGTAGACATATTGAATGCCCTCAGAGCAATAATGTACTGGTGCATTTGCTGAAGAAATCTGCTTTACGAGTTTAACCCAGGACTGTTTTCACAAGGTCACAGGATTATTTTAGAAGGAATAGAATCTTTCTGTGCAATAGAAAGTTAACTTTCACTTATTGTATATTTTTCTCTTTATATACCAGATTTCATTTAAGTTCATGAAATAATGCTTAACATTTAGTGATTTAACTAGTGAAGCAGTGAAACTTGGGCTTTTTTGTGCACAATAACATAGAATACTTATCTCTATTTTCCTCTGTCACGGTCTTTGGTGACTGTTGGCTATTGCAAATGACATATATTAAGTTCTCTAGTTCTTTAATATCTGAGTTTCTTTGTGGATGTGTAAGTGATACAGGGAAAAAGCAAATGTAAAATACAAGTTTCTCAGGAAATTAGAAGTTGTTTCTTACTACTTTGGGGAGAGACTTTTTTCCATGTATCTCATGTGTAAAATAATCTAGATGCTTTTGTGTGTCTTTGGATTCTTTTGGGTAGAAGGTTTAGTTCTTGTAATTTTGATAGAAAAGCCTAAATTTATATTGTGTTTTTCTTTTGTGTCAGATAATGCAATAGATTGTAGTATTATATTCTTTTAATTCATAGCAGTGTAAATGAGAGTTTTAGCTTTATTGTAGTTGTATTATTTAGGTTTGTTAATTTATGCTATAATTAAAAATGGGTTTCCACAATCATAAATACGTTTAAGATTTGTGGGTTAATATTACCTGAGACCTTTGAAACTTAATACTTTCTACTTTCATATGTAGTTATTTAATCAGATTCCCTTATGGTTTTGGGTATGTTTGTGTGTGTGTGTGTGTATAAACTTGTCAAAGTATGTGACAGTGTTAATTCTTCCTCAGGGAAGAAATGTAAAGTATATCTGGGTACATTCAGGAAAATGTTGAATGAAATACAGGAAAACCAAAATTATTTGTACTAGGGATATTTTTCTTAAATCCCTTCCTTTGTTTTAATCAATAAAGTATTCTTTAGTTACATAATTAGGTCTAATATACAAATCCAGGGTGGGCTTTGGGTAGATGTCATTGTCAGATTAAATGTATGACTTTAAAGATGTTTGATTATATGTCAACAGGAGTATTTCTTTTAGTAAAAAAAGGTTGATAAAGATGTCATTTCTAATGATTTGATGGTATTTTATGTTTTAAATATCAGAGGGCTGTGGGCCAATGCGTCTTAAACACAGGGATATAATATATGTTTTTGGTTTAAATTTATACTCTTTACATCCTTTATTTTAGATTAAGGTATAAAAAAAATCAATTCACCCGTGAGTGTGAAGGGAAATTGTTATGAACATTTCCCTATCTTTATTTTAGAGAAAGTTATAGACAAGAATTGTTTAGTAATGTGTTGACATTTATGTTCTATTTCTCAAAGGGTATCCTTCCTTGTCCACTTATAGTCAGCACTTGTGTAAATAGCAAAAGTTTAGAAAGGTGCTGGATTTCTAACTTAACCCTGAATTTCTTTTCCTGTATGAGAGGGTACAGATATGTACTCCTAAATATTAATGGGTTTGGACTGAATCTATTTTAAAAAAGATATTCAGGGATATTTGTAAATCATTTTTGGATGAGGGAAAGGCCTTATTGGGGGGTGGATATTACAGTTTCAAGTTTATGTGAATAATATGTAGACTAGCAAAATATGAAATCAGGTACTATAATAGTTGCTAATTTTGTTAACTTGATTAAAAAAAAAGACAAAGAAGAAGCATAAGTTCTAAAACAGAAGTTGGCAACCCTTAACTTGCACATAAGACTAATTTTCTGAGGATGAACTGTACGTGTTTCTGAGGTTGCCATGTCTCACCATTGTCCAGTTTAGATTAGAACTTTGCTACTTAAAGGGTGATCTGCAGACCAGCAGCATCTGCATCACAGGTGTGATTGTTAAAACTCAGAATGTAGCTTTCCTCTAACCAGAAGTACTGAGTCAGAATCTGAATTTAATAGGATTGCCAACTGCATTGTGTGTGTATTAAAGTTTGAAAAATCCTGCCTCTGAAGCAAGACTGTTCAGAGCCATACTGTGCCACTTCTGGCATGTCATTTTATATAAGTTATGGAATATTTTTGTCCTTCAGTTTCCCCAGTTGTAAAATGAAGATTAAAATGATCTTCCCGATGTAGAGTTGTTGTGAGGATGAAATGAATATGTTGAAGTTTTGTTAACTGCATAAATTGGATCCCTAAAGTAGACACAGCATGATAAAAGTAGGCGAGGCAGTTTAGCAGCATGCCCTCACTCTTGCTGGTATTTGCTCCAGTGCATCAACATCCTACTGTAGGAATAATTTCATCTTAATTCATCATCTAATTATTGAGTACATATCAAGCAGTTTGTTTTCAATGTGAGTAAAAAGCAGGTTTTTTTAAACTTGAGTTAAACCAGAAAATTGGCCTAAAAGTGTTGGTCATGGATGAACAAATACTATTTCTCTTCCAAAAAATATGCGTAAGCCCTTGATACTTAAAAAAGAATGATATAGGGCTAGGGCTGTAGCTCAGTGATAGAGCGCTTGCCTAGCATGCATCACATAAAAATAAAAAAAAACAAATAAAATAAATACATTCTGTCCATCTACAACTACAAAAAAATTTTTTTTAAGAATGCTGTGACTATGACTACCCAGTAAAGTATAATAAAAATTTTTAGATAGTGGTATTAGTTAATGTCTCCCCCCCTTTAAATGTCCCAGTTTAAGAGTTTGTGATTTTATTGAGAATGCAGTAATATCAGTATTTGTAAAATTTAAACTCATAATGGTATAGTTTGCTAATTACTTCAACATAATGTGTAATTCCAGGCAAAACAGTGAGTTTGAATCAGAAAAAATTATCAAATAACTCATATTCTTTACTTTTTTCATAATTGTGATATTTAATATTGTTCATTCAGAGATTATTTAGCTATCGTTTCTATTTGCTTATAAGAAATAACTGATAATTACAGGAATCCTAATTATTTCTCCCATATATACCAGTGCAGCAGTAGGACTCAGTACCGTTGAATGGCTAAAAACATTTTTACAAAGGGGGGAGTGATTGAAAATAATATCTCCCCCACCCAAAGGTCACATTTTTATTAGATGTCTATTATGTTCAGTGCAGATTATCTGTAAGGAGAAAGTGGGTGAAAACCTTGGGTTCTTTTTAAAAAGCTAAATGGCTATTTCACAGTTACATGTAGCAAATTGTTATTTTCCTTTCTGCAAGTAAAT